CTACTACTACTACTACTACTACTACTACTACTACTACTACTACTACTACTACTACTACTACCACTACTACTACTACTACTACCACTACTACTACTACTACCACCACTACTACTACTACTACTACCACTACTACTACCACTACTACTACTACTACCACTACCACTACTTACTACCACTACTGCTACCGCTACGACTATTAGTACGACTACCACTACTGCTGCTGCTACCGTCGCTACTCGAGTAATGCTTCCGATAGGCCTACGTTCACTCATCTGCCTTCCCCCCTCCTCGGGGTGGCCTCATTCTCGTTGCAGTATTCAGACAAGATGGTGTCGCCCTTTCTGGGAAAAATTTCCAACAACCTGCGGAGTATCATCCTACAGAGGCTGGCCTCGCCATGCACAGACCAAATCACTCGTTCCAGCCTCTTTGATTGGCTCTCTGAGGCGGTGCTATTTGATGCGCTCAAGGGTCCAGGCGCCTCACTCTTCCAGGGATCCGGTTTTACTCTCTTACGCATACTTTCTTCGCCGACGAAGAGTTCAATAGGCGACCTCAACGAAGGTAACGACAAGGGTTCAGAGCAGCCCCCGGATATCCTCACCGTTCTGATTTCCACGCTGCAGGAAATCGATGTAAGTAGGACGGTATTTCTTGCGTTTAGATGACTTATCTGTTTCGGAGCTCTACCAGCTTTGATGAAGGTGGTGCTTTCTCTAATTTCGAGCGTTCCGACCAAACCTCCGGTATTATTCACTCTGTAACGAGGGTGAGGGAAGGAAAAGTGCGCAAGCCTACTATCACCATAAACTAGTTTATGTGCAAATCGCAGTCCCTGCGCCCACCCTGCTGTGGAGCACACGGTCGACATCGCCGGTAACAACGGTCGAACTGTCGATTTCAGGAGGTTTAAGAGTTATGAGCGTTGCGATACATAAACCTGCCCTGAACTTGGGACGAAGTGGCGTGCATGCGAGAACGTTGACATGGCTTGTGGATTGGCTTCCACAGTCAACTTATAGGAACGCCACGGGTTAGTTAGCATATTCTGAGTGAATAAAGGAGAGCAGAAGTCCAGAGGTAGCACGGATAAATTTCGCAGGAAAGTACTCGTGTGCCATGAAAGTTGCTAAATATCAACTTCGGCGATTATCACTGCCGATCCAACCGGCTTGCAAAATGTTCTCTGATGATTCTAAGCGTATTTTCTAGCGACCACCCCATTTCATCTCCATACAGGCCAAGAATGGCTTACAAGCTTCGTGGAAAAGTATCCAGGTTTACCTGCCGGAAAGTACTTTCTTCCCGCTCCAACTGAGCTCAGGGGGTTGGGAAGGAGGAATGTGCACAAATCGTCTGAGTCTTGGATTTCCTTTGCGAGGTCGGCACAGCGAGTACAGACTGTCTCGGGCTAGGCTGTCTTTCCCGTAGAAGTCTTTAGGCAGTGAACTTCGAGAATCTCCGTCTTGTTCGTTTTCTACGCGCACAGCCTAGAACTCAGGGCAGTAGAGGGCTGGTCGGACGGATGTTTGGTCGACGCGAATCTTTGTGGCAATGAGACATAGCTGAGTTCATAGGTGCCCTGTAGCGTTCGGTAAAATTCTGCAAACGGTAACGCTTGGGGCAATTATGTCGTTACCACTCAGTTCGTTTTGCGACAAATTACTCTGAGATATTTGAGAGTGTCAACTTCACGCTGACCACCGTCAAGATGTCGTGAAACGGCCAATTACGTTAGAGATGACATGACCTCCAGTATCGGGAACCAAGAGCGGTTATCTCTCATTGGCCAGGGGCCTATTATGGGCTTTGAAATCCACAATCATCCGAAGTTCTGCATTCATGTTTCTTTTCGAAATGACGCTTGTCGGGGAGGATCTTTCAAATAACATGTTTTGCTTGAGTGGTGGTTTGTGTCAGGGAGCTCTCGTTACCCGTGTCACAAGTAGTTC